GCAGATTGATACCACTCTCATGTCTGCACACTAAATATTTAGCTATAGCCAGAAGGCAATTAGCTAAGCTTAGCATATGCATTATGGATTAAACAAACAATATATAATGTAATATATATTTATTTATATGTGTGTGTGTATATACACACATATATTATAATACCGGTACACTTCTGAGACGCATCCATGGCTGCAGGGATTTGTGCCCATTTAAGAGCATTAGCGAGGTCGGCCACTGATGTGATGGGGGGATGGAGGTAAGGGCTATGTGTAGATCAGTCGAGTTCTTCCAGACCTAACTGAGAAAAGGATGTCTTTATGGACCTGGCTTTGTGTATGAGGGCACTGTCATCTTGAAACAGGAAAGGGCGTTTCAATTACCTCAAAGTTGTAGGTAAAATATTATTTAATGCTGTTGAATTGTGATTTTTCAATCAGATCTTAAATGGAACAAAGTGGGCAAGCTCTAACCATGAAAAAAGCCCTGCATCAAAAGTAACAAAAGTGTGTCCAAATATCTTTTAGGCCATATAGTGCACAATGTTATTTAAAGGACTAGTGTGTAAGATTTAGTGGCATCTAGTGGTGCATTGCAGATTGCAACAAACTGAAACCCCTTGACTCAACCAAGTGTGTAGGAGAAACTATGGTGGCCTGCAAAACTCATGAAAAACACAAGTCCCTATTGAGAGCCAGTGTTTGGTTTGTCCATTCTGGGCTACTGTCGAAACATGGCAGTTCAACATGCGAGGACCTCATAGAAGGAGACCTGTCCCTCTGTAGATAAAAACAGTTCATTCTAAGGTAACAAAAAAGATGATTTGTATATTCAGGTGATTATACTTAATTAAAACATACCTATGAATATTATATTAAATATCTGCTGATAGATCCTCCTAAATGTTACACACTGGACCTTTAAGATTACTTATCCTGTAGCTTTAGAATTGCTACAGGTCTTGGCTAATGGCCTGTTGACATGAACACAGTAAATGTTAACATTTTAGCATGCAGCCTGTGAATGTCACATTTTTAACCTGGGTATGTGAGAAACAGTCCCTGTCCAGACAGTTTAATATTACTCAAGGACCTCTGGTTCTTACTGGGGTGATTTAATGATTTCTGTCCTGTTCACAGTCAACTTTGTGATTATTATAGAACACACACATCCCAGTGGGAGTAGAAATTACTAAGTAAACCATGCATACTGATTTTCTGTGACCCCTGCGTCCTCTGTTAAAGCCTCCGCACCTCTGTAGTTCATTGGAGTAAAAGAGGGAAACAGTTGGCAGTTTATTAGGTATACCTTGCTAAAACTAATGCAGTCTACAACAGTCCTGCAGTGAAGCATACCTTATGTTAATGAGGGTAGACAAAATATTAGGAACAGCTCTCAGTATAATGCAATAGAGATTAACAGCACCAGAAACTACATCCTCCAAAATGATAATACAGTTGAATCAATACCTCTTTAAAACAGTTTTGACAAAAACTGAACATTATTACCTTCTTGTTTGTTAGAATTTGTTGCAGCTCTGTTGTAATAGACCACATTTGTTATTGTTATGTGTACCTAATAAACTGGCCCCTGAAACAGAGTTATGATCAGGATTAATTTAAAAAGGTTCATGCCAGAAACAGGAAGAATATGGGGACTATGATTAGAGAATAATGATATTACTCTTTCCTAGTACTTTTAACTCATGTCATAATACATGCTAAAATCACTGGGCCTCATGTAATGGCTGCGTATTGATGATTTTGATCTATGATCTCATTACTTATCAAGAAGAAGCAGAATTCTCTCAAACCCTGATGTGTTCATTTACATCACAGTTGACCTACTTGCAGATATCATTTTCAGACTGATTTAAACATTTATAACACTTACGTAAATGTACTTATGCGTACCCTAAAGTACAGCCAGCTGCATTCACAGGACAGAAACTGTGATACTTACGATGTCATTTATACTGTAGTGGACATGTTTGCAAATTTAATTGTTTTTAGAGCTACAGTAAATCAGCAGTCCACTTATATTTTTCTCTGCCAGACATCCACCATCCTCCATCTCTCTGTTATGCCAGCAGATACCACACGGCGAGCTTTACAATCAGGATGTGTAGGATGAAGCTACGGGTGTCTTTTGTGATCCAGCCTCATCTGTGCGTGTTTGTACGTGTTTCTCCGCCTCTGTATGTGTGCTTGCCCACGTGTGTGTTTGTTTGGTGGCTGTGCGGCAAGTGAAGGTAAATTGCTGTGATTATGTGGCAGTAATTGAACAGGGATGGTGTGTTTAATTGAGTTGTTGTTTCCTGATGTTTCTCTGTAGTAGCAGGAGCCGCCGCGCTGACAGGTGCCTCGTCTCGCCTCGCCGAGATGAGAGTTGTTGTTTTTTATATATATATATATATATATACCCTCACGTAGGCTTTGTTGTGTCTTTTTTAGACGTGTTTCTGTGTGTTTTGGCTTAATGTTGTTTATTTGGCTGAAGGATGTGTGTGGGTTTTACTGTTTCAGCAGGTAGAGGGAAGCGTGGGGTTTCTGAGATGGTTCTCTGAGCTCTGGCAAGTTATATGCATAATGTTTATAATATATATAATGTATAGTTTAAATGTGTCTATGTGTGTGTATTCCTGTCTGTCAAAGTGTGTGTATGCAGGCTTACTTGCATCTCTGTGATGATGTGTGTGTGAGAAAGAGATGTGCATGAATCGTTGTATGTTTTCTTACATGTTTGTGAGTCTGTGTACTTCAGTGTGTGCATGCATGTACTCTATATCACCGTCTTGGTGTGTGTGTCTTATAAGTGTGTGTATGGTTGTTATGAGTGTGTGTGTGTGTGTGCATGTGTGTGTGCTCTATCTGATCTGCCTCCTGGGCTCTATGGCCCAAATCAAATGGTAAGAAACATCAATTTCACCATTGCGTCTCCTCCTCCTCCCTCTCCTCCTCACTCCTTGTATAATTTCTCCTCTCTTCTTGCTCTCCTCCCCCCCAGCTCCGGTCCTCCTTCTCTCCTCCCCTCCTCGGTGCCTTGCTCTCTGCGGAGGTGTGATTACGTTCCTCCTCTGAGCACCAGTGATCTAAGGGGTTCAGTGTGTGCGTCTCCATGTGTGTATCAGTGTGTGTTTGGTGACTGGTTGGTGATCTGAGCAGCCCGGCGCTGCGTATTGTGCGGCGCAATTCACGGACGACGTCTCCAGATGAATGCCTCCATTCACAATTACAGCCTCTCCATTAGCTGCAGCCCTCGCTGCCTTGTTGTTGTCTTTTCTTCTTCTCTGCAAAAAAAAAAAAAAAGCAATTAAAGTAGGACAAAAACAAGCTGGAACACAAGCGGTGTACCTGGAAAAAGAAAAAAATAGCAAGGGAAGGGGTGTGGGAGTGTGATTCTTAAGTCGGCGTCCACACTACACAACACACTTTCTCTATTTGAACTTACACGCATGAATGCAATCTCCTCTGAGAGACTCACACAAGCCTCTCAATGTATAGTTTTGATTTGTTGTACTGTAAGTACTTATAGTTTCACATTTCATTAGAAGCACAGAAAGTTGAGGGAAAACTCTAGTGAGTTCTGTTGCTGTTGTTCTTGAGGGGGCTAGTTTAGGGGTAAAGCTTTGATTAATGGTTAAAGTAAAACATAAGGTTAGTTGTGTGCATCACTTTTTCTTGTTTTACACCCACAGTATCACACTTAACAGTATGTGAACACAAAAAGGGAATAGCAGCGTTTCTAGCTTCAAGTCATTTTTGAATCAACAAATTAACAAATTAGAAGGGCTGAATGAAAACTGCAAATGCATATTAAATGATGAAAATGTTTTATCACTGAGCAGAATGTTTATTTAATTTTGCTAAAGAAATTATTAATTGAATGGAATTAGAAACACATTTGACTAATTATTAAAGATGTAAGCTTTGTATGATTTGCCTGTAAAGTCACTGAATTTTAGTTGAAAATGTTGCGAAATATTTGTTTACCACTAGCTTTAAGAAGTATTTGACCTGCCTGTTTGTTATACGTGTGTACAAACTGCCATAATTATTGAATGGCCACAGCTGGTTTGTCATAAAACTAACAAGTTCACTTTTTTGTTCTTTTTATTGTGACTGCTTCACAATAAAAGCCACCCCATGTTTGGCTAGATGAATGCTTTAAATGTGAAGAAGCAGCAGTAGGAAAGGTTCGGTTTGCATTTGCAGAGCAGTGTTAAGTTATTAAGTCACAATACTTACAGACTATGAGTTAAAACAGCTCAGATACGGCTGCAGAGGAGTGAACCATGAGAATGATGTCAATGAGATAAAACTACAAACAGGATTACATGTTGCATCATTTCCCTGTGAAACATTTATGCATAGGTATGCAGTTTAAATCGCGCACAAGAATGGCGGACTCCGCCACTAATTATAAAAAATAACCATATAGAAAGGAAATTATAAAATGTAAATACATTGAATGTATTCTGCTGCTGCTGTCAGCAAATACTAAAAGATTCAACATTTTGAGACAGCAAAAGTGACTCTGAAAGACCTGTTTCTGGTTTCTATTCTTTTATTTTTATTTTTGTATTACTTCAACCAAGTAAATGTATTTTCAGACCTAATTTCTGTATCGTCTTTGGCAACATTTCAGACATTTGCGAAAAAAATGGACTTGACATTTGGATAGAAATGTAGCTACTGAGATAGACAGTGCCATGCACCACTTTAACAGTAGTTCTTTGCTTTCTCTTTTTTTTGCTTCAGAGGGACCCCTGCAGAGCATTGTGTCCATGGGGTTGCGCCACCCTGTCCCTCAGAGGGGGGTGTACCAGAGGGACGGTTACCCCCCTCTCGATCTTATTCAATGGGTCTACCAAATGGAGAGAGACAGGAAGGTACGGGCTGATGATATCACCGTTCCAGTCAGACACAAGGTATAGTACTGTACACAGAGCGGGAGCGCACACGTTTTACACACATCACACACACTGTGATTTACTATTCCAATAAATCACTGGTGCCGCCTAATTTCCTATGGATTTCAATTTCCCCCTGGACATATCTGCATTGATCAACTTCAGGTGTAAGGATGTGCCAAGCGTCGCTCACTGTGACACTGAAGAATGGCTCGCGGATCTCTGCCATACGTGTGTGTGTCTGTGTCTGTGTGTGTAGGGGTTCGAGGGTGGAATTTGTGCACATGCAGCATTTCTGTTCAACGCCGTCATCACCGCCGAGGCTTTAGGATACAAATCCTTGAGTCTGAGTAATAACATCTGAAAATGTCAGAATCATACAGACTGAGACAGCTGAATGGGGACTTGAGATATTGTTATTCTGATCATATCTGCTCTTACACTGAGTCTAGGCCTGATTATGAGGAACAATTAAATATCATTCTGGCTTCTCCAACAGTTGTTGCTGCAGAAAGAAGAGCTGGGTATAACTCCTCTTTGAAATCATCATCATTTTGTGGTCTACTGAATCGTCTTTCAGCGCAGTGTTTAAACTGAAACAAATATAATGCTCTTTCAGCTGAATACTGCATTATCCCCTCGCAATCATTGAAGCCTCCTATCTGTGTCCTTTACGGTGCATTATGAGGCCAATTACAGCTCTGACAAAAGAGTGCCGCTGGATGCAAGGTAGCTCTGTTTGTGTGCATGTCACCGTCCGACATGTCCTTGCAGGGGTACATGGTCCCCGGGCCTGTAGATGAGTTTTGAGCCGGTGTTAGGAGGCAACGACGAGGCCTGACAATGTCTTTACCCTGAGTTCCTCCCCTAGAGGCAGATCTGAATGGATCGTAGAGGCAAGGAGGAGAAATAAATTGGAGAAAAGGATAAATCGATGCTTGGCGGAGAGGCAAACAGACCTTCCAACCCCCAGCCCAGACACACACACACACACACACGTACCACGCCGTGGCTTTTTTTCCTTGGGCTGTATTGGATTGGTATGCAGAGCCGAAGAGAGAGACGCTCAGAAAAAGACTTGGCCTACAAATGATGTCCTTTGTTTGATCCACTAGGTTGGGGAGGGGGGGGTTAGTTGGTTGGTGGGTTGATGGGGAGGGTCGTCCCACAACGACGGTGGAAGGGCTGGGAAACAAACATCTCTGTCTGTGAGCCTCTCTCTCTCCCTCCCTCTCTCTCCCTCACTAACAGCCTCTCATCTAAGGGAGGAGAGAGAGAGATCAGCTCCAGGAAAAGCTGGTTGTCATCTGTTTCTGTTGATGACTTAGAGGGCAGACAGGATATGGTGTCGGTGTGTGTGCATTCCAGCGCGTGAATATATGCTAAATCTGAAGCTTTTAATCTGAAGGATATTTCTGGGTTATTGCCACTGATGTCTTCTTGTAGTTTTGGTCACCATCTAGGTAATAAATAACAGTTTCAACATATTTTTTTTATCATAACCAAAACAAATGATGGCCAAAACTATAAACATAAAGCCTTATCCTTCACAAATAATTTGGGCCTCATGCAAGAACATTTTTATCCTTCTATTACTTTTCCTGTGAGGCTTGCTTACGAGCGTACCAAGTCAGATTCACCAAACTCTCTTAACTTCACAGACTTAATGAATGGCGCCTATTCATGAGAAGGTGCACCTTCATGAGATTTGATCATTATAATCAATGCCCCCAAACTGCTATAAGGCTGCCTGTTCCACTCCGTTTTAAATGTCATACAAGAGTAAAAAGACTTAGTGTTGCAGAGCTTGAAGCCCTGTTGTTGAAAATCAGCAGAAAGAAAAAAACAAATTAAGTGTCAGTAGTAGTTTTAGGGGATTGGAAAATATGAGAAAATGTATGTGTGGCTCTTAACACTGCATCATCGCAGAGCAGTAACAGAAGGACAGAAATAAAGACAGAATGGTTTGACATGAAGTTAGACGGCAAAAAATGTCTTGCTTAAGCAAATGGTTCCATGACTTAAATGAGAGACTGAATGAATGAGACTGATAAATGGCCATATCTGATGGTTGATCGGTCCAGACTGAGATATTTCTAATAAACTATTGGAATGATTGCCATGAAATTTTGTACAGACATTCATGGTCCACAGAGGATAAATCCTAACGACTTTGGTGATGTTCCCTCTAGCATCACCAGCAGGTCAAATGTTATATGTATCCTCAACAGATTCAAGAAGATTTACGGTCATTAAGTGCTATCTTAAAAGACCTGTTTCTTGTTTCTGTGTTTTATTCTTGGTTACTTTTATTTTTGATAGTTGATTTCAGAAACACATTTAAACTCGGATCTCATTCAGACTTGGACATTATAACTCTTAAGTCAATAAAGTGTTTTCCCCCCTGTTCGTACTGCTAGTGGTTCTTTCATGAAGTTTATCAGTCCAACTTCAGTCTCAAAACAGATTTTTAAGACGTTATCAAATAAAAACTTCAGCCCTAACTCCAATCAGGTTTTTGCTCCATCACCGCTTACCCTGTCTACACTCCATCACACCATTTCCAGCTCTCCTGTTTTGGAGACATACACTATTCTCAGCTCTTAACTAGCAACAGCATACAACGCCATTTATTTTAGCTTGGGAGTTCTCTTTTCGCTCCATGTCTTTTTATAGTTTTGCTGTTCATACTGTACTCCCCGCTGTGCTTCTATTTTCATGAATGCTGTGAGAAATAATTGAAAGCGCCGTGTACGGTGCCGTCTGTTGCAGCGCTCCCACTTCCTCGTGCCTTGTAAATACTGTATCACTGAAACCCCCGCTGTAAACTGCCGGCTTGGGATTCCTCACAACTCTGAGATGTCAACACTCACTGAAAACTTGAGCCAAGATCAAATCGTAACCAGAGTCTGAACGTCGCTCCTGTGGACAGAGCCAGTTTTTGATTGATTTCAAATTCAGCTGTTTGTCCTTGTCTGTTTCCTTGAGAAAACAGAGTTGAATCAGGTTTCCTCTGGTGTTTTCCCAGTTCTTTTTGTCACTCATGACATCCATAAGGAGGGGGAAAAAGATGTCAAAGGAGTCACAACCCCTGCTGCACGTGGTGCTGGTGTGAAGTGCAACAGACGGAGAACCTCAAGGAATCTTAACAAGATCAAATGATTTACCACAACAACTATAAATAAATCATGGCATATTGGAATCAGATTAAAGGGCCACTTCACAATTATTTCTTATAAAGGTCATAGGGTTGTATAATGTCCTTTGTCACTCTGGAGGAAAACAACCCTTGATGATGTCATGAGGTTTTGGGGTAGAGATTTCCAGAAAGGCTAAAATTGGGGAATTGGGGGTGTGTAGTTTGCAAGGTGCAGGTGTTTAACAAAAAGAGGTTTGAATGAAAAGATTCTGTTGGTTGCATTATGGGAAATAAAGTAGCTAGTGTTTTTTTAACTTGACCCATAATATTGACTTCGATTTTAACTATTAATTTTCAAATCTGTCTCTTATGCGTTCCCCCACTTATTTTAATTGTAACACAAAATCGCTGCAGTACACCTTTAATTTAAAGGACCAGTATGTAGGA